CTCTTATTATAATATGAAAACGAGAATAGTTATCAATAATTTGCACTGGTCAAAAATTAACTAAAAATTATTTCCGATGAGGTGATACCTCAGTATTTTTAAACTTGTGCTTCATGGCTGCCTGTTTGTGCAGAAAAGACTTATTCAATTTGAAAGTACATTCATTCTTACAAAAATATGCCTTACATATCACGGAAATATGCAGATTTCACTCAATACGAGCATACTTAGGGCCACAGTTGCACGAATTTCATGCNTCGGGTTTACAGGCCGTCGTGATTTGGAACTGTATCCTAACATTTCGCCAGCACGAGTAGCTGGCTTCTTCAGAGGTCTATTAATCCTGATGAACCATCATATTATTTTTTAGGGTACTTTCAATGTTGGTTTCGATTCGCATTTTTGGATACTAGATTGGAAATCTAAATGCATATTATTTAACATGGCAAGATAAAAATTTAAATTTGAATTATTGAAGTGGTACTTATTGAATTCAGTGCAATAATTAATTGAACAAATGAATATGTCGGACTTTAGAACATTTTCAACACTGAATATGTCTGGTGATGTATAACAAAACTGGCAGCTTTGGTTACAAAAGTTCAATAATTACTTGAAGGCCACAGAAGTAGACAAAAAGTCAGAAGCCATCCAATATGCTCAACTTTTGCAGTATATCGGTGATGAAGGAATCCGTATTTGTATTAGCTTCAAGATAAAAGATAAAGATCGAGTTAAGATCGCCCCATTGACCAGTGAATTTGTAAAGTTTTTCAAGCCCAAAACAAATTTGGTGTTTGAGAGACACAAATTTGACAGATCTAAAAAAAAAGCAAAAAATTGTTTCTTTGGTGATTTGGAATCATCACTAGTGTGTAGTGTCTCATTATCGAATTGAATAATGATTCTCTGCTAGAGGATCCTGATATGACGTTGAAAAAAGCGGAACGCATTTGCTTAGCAGTGGACGAGTCAAGAAAGCGAGCTCATAAGATATCCAATGAGGTGAAGGAAGTGCATGCAGTGAGCACCAGTGCAAGCTGCGGCCAGAGCGAATGGATGGAATGCAGGAGAAAAGGCGGTAGTATTAACACTGTCATTGCGTGGAAAAGCAACGAATATTTTGCAAACCCTCATGGCCCAAGAACAAGAAGACTATGACCAACTTATAAAGCATCTTGAGTTACGGTATGGGCAGGCCCACCTAGAGCACGTTTACCATTCACAGCTGAAAAACCGCTGCCAGAAATCGGGAGAATCTCTATAGGAATTTAAAGGCGACATTGCTCGATTGGTTCGTCTGGCAAATCCTGCTATACTGCTATACTTGGAAGGACTTCGCGACCAAGAAACGAGGCAGACCTTGACACTAGCTCATCCCAAACATCTTGAGGATGCATTGGTAAGCGCCCTGGAAATTGAGGCTACAAAACAATCCTGCAAGAGCCAGGGCCGAGTTCGAACTATCGGGGAAGATGGACAGATGCCTGCTGATATTGAGGCCACCACTAGAAAGGTAATGAAATAAGTGTTGTCTGCCCTTCATTCAAAGAATCAACACCAAATCAGGAAAACTAGACGGGGTCGATGAGAAGGGGCAATCGTTGGCCTGTATCCAGCAAGCCCCCGTAGAAAACGCATATGTTGGATTCTCCAACGACAAGACAAAGGTGTTTTCGTAGACGGCCTTATCAACAATGAGCCTTGCACCATGCTGCTAGAAACAGGTGCCAAAACACCGGCAAGAATTGATCCGTCAAGTTGAAAGCTATGCACCTCAACAGGAAAGCCAGCCACTGTACTTGGAGAACTGGCAATTGATGGTGGCGGACATCGAGGACGATGCGATTATTGGAATGAACATAATGAATTCCAGAAGGTTTGAGCTGAATTTTCAAGACGGCGTTCTACGTGTCGGCGGAGAAGAGCTGGTACTTCATGGAAGAAGCGAAGAGATGATCAGGGTCCTGTTGGCTGAAGACGAGTGCATACCTGAGAGGGCTGAAACTATCTTGGAGGCTCGCTTGGACGGAAGTACGAGCAGCGGGAAGGTGGTAATGTTCAAGCCCAAAACACACGATGAGAAAATTGGACGAGGAATCGCACTAGGGAAGACCCTGTTGCGTTTTGAGAAGTTGTGCCGGTCAGGGTCATGAATGTCAACTACTTTCCTGTAACCTTCAAGAAAGGAACAATGCTGGGGCACTGTTCGTCCATTTCCTCTGTGATACGGAGTGTACTCAGTTCGGTTAGCGAAGCCAATAACTTGCCTGAAGAGTTGGAGAAGTTGATTAACACTTCCTTCAAGGACATACCACCAACTCACCGATCAAAATTGAGGAAGTTAGTCAAGAAGTACCAGGAAATTTTTGATATTGAAGAAGTAAAAGGCGGCAGAACGAATGTGGTTCAACACAGAATCGACTCCCTCTTGCCAAGAAAGAAGAGGCAGACAAGATAGTCAGCGATATGGAAAAAGAAGGAGTCATCGAACTTTCTGGAAGTCCCTGGTCTCCCCAGTCGTATTAGTGAAGAATAAGGATGGCTTGACAACGTTGTGCGTGGATTATCGCCAACTAAATAACGTGGCAAAGAAAGACAGCTACTCTCTTCCAAGAATTGATGACACGCTAGCCGGCTTCAAGATTTTCTCGATTTTGGATTTGTAGAGTGGATTTTGGCAAGTTGAATTGGCCCCAGAAGATAGAGAAAAGACAGCTTTCATCATCGGCTCAGGATTGGTTCAGCATAGAATCGACACTGGGAATGCCCGACCAATCCGGCAATCAGCTAGAAGACTCTTTCTTGCTAAAAAAAGAAGAGGCAGTGGTATGGGAAAAGAAGGAGTCATCGACCCTTCTGACAGCCCCTGGTCTTCCCTAGTTTTATTAGTGAAGAAGAAGGACGGCTCGACAAGGTTCTGCGTGGATTATCGCTAACGAAATAAGGTGACGAAGAAAGACAGCTACCCTCTTTCAAGAATCGACGACACCCTAGACACGCTAGCCAGTTACACAATTTTTTCGGCTTGTTGAATTGGCCCCTAGCTTTCACCATTGGCTCAGAATTGTGGTCATTGCCGTCGCTGATGTCCTGGTAAAGAAATGGATATGTCGATTCAGTGTCCCATTGGAGCTGCAGAACGAATGAATGAAACCATAAACCGCCACTTGTCGAAGGTAGTCTCTGACCACCAAAGAGACTGGGACCAGTACCTCCACCTGTTCCTGTAGGCCTATCGTTCGGCAGTGCACGAGTCAACCGGCCAAACGCCTGGCAGTATTATAATCGGCCGATAGTTGCGACTCCCTTGCGATATGAAATTTGGGACTCCGCCAGAACAAGGCACTGCGGAGGAAGACTATGTCATCAAGCTTCGGCAGAGAATGGACGACATCCGTGAACGAGTCCGTCTGAACATCCGGAGTGCCAGCAATAGGATGAAGAAGGCCTATGACATCAAGGCGAATGCTAGAGGATTCGAAACCGGTGACCAATTTTGGCTGTGCAACCCTAAGCGACGCTGTGGTTTATCATCGAAGTTGCGGAACTCGTGGGAAGGTCCGTACAAAATCATGTAGAAGATAAATGACCTCATCTACCGAATCCTTAAGCCACTTCGAGGAAAGCCTAGGGTCGTCCATTTCAATAGATTGGCTCCTTATGCTGGAAATCACGACCAAGTTCGTGCCATCAGACCACCATAGGATGAAATGACGTTCCAGAAGTTCATGTCTTCATACTCTAACGATCAGTAGGTCGTACTTGGGATAACTCAAGAAGAGCCACGAGACCTTTTCAAGGTTCCAATTGATTACGCACTAGCTCACTGCGTGGCGGCTGAGGATCTCCAAATGTCCAGGGGTATCGCTGTGGTATTCAACAAGAAATTCGGTCAGCTCCAAACATCACGAAAACAGAATCCTGAAGTCGGAGGAGTTCTACTGTTTAAGAAGGGCCAGAGAAACATTTTCTACTTGGTTACCAAAAATCATTCGTGAGACAAATCGTCCTATGAAGATGTATGGAGGAGTCTTACCAGACTGAGGGACACGATGCTCGACCAGAACCTTGTGGACTTGGAAATCCCGAAATTAGCCTCTGGGCTCGACAGGCTGGATTGGAAAATTGTGAGAAGAATGTTAGAAATGATATTCAGATCCAGCGACATCAATATTTTGGTGTGCGGTAACCATCTTCCACGATCGAATATGAAGATTGTGAGGTGTTACTTCCATCGAACTTCACAGTGCAGATATGGAGAATCCTGGCGTGTGTATCGACACACGCCAAGGATAACATTTCGGGGCGAAACGTCTGCAAGAAGGGAGCAATATAATGAATCTGAAGCCGCCCCTGAGCGATATGCCGGCCGGCTCAGCGAATAAATACATGATCCGCGAAATAATGCAACCGCCGGTAAAAATCTAGTCGAGTACCGAACCGACTACAGATTTCTAGAAAGGACGTTATATTATATACGCCCGGCTTCCCGATCCAAGAGGGCAGTTCAGAAAGTGAATCGAGTGGTTGAACAAGGAATTCAAATAGTGGAAATAAATCAAGCGTTAGTTGCTAAGTGTTGTGAATAAATTAGTTTGTGATTAGTGAAATATTATTGGAAATAAATTATTTGTTTAAGACAGTTAATTCAAAAATTGGTTACAATAGGAAATAAAATGATTTAAAATATATATGCGTATTACTTATGAAAAAAATTATTGATACAGTTAATTCAATAATTGGTAACAATAGGAAATGAAATGATTTGAAATATATATGCGTATTACTCATGAAAAAAATTATTGAAGATTTTTTTTGTGTTTTCTACAATGTTTTAATATTATTCTGATAAAATCCCGTTAATAAAAATTACTCGATAAATGTGAGCAATCAGATCCGTGTAAGATAGTTTTTTTCATCAGAAATGACCTCCTTCATCACCCCCTTCAGTTTTGATCATGATTATGAGACAAACTATATTATCCGATATAGGAAAATACCATTCTTTTGGGTTGTTTACACGGCCAAATGATGCAAGTACAACTTCCTTCTGTTCCAAAAATGTCAGCTGCAAGTTCCTTTTTACTCATACTAGAACCTCAGTACAAAAATTTCACCTCTTACAAATCACAAATCAGGAGAGACATCAAAATGAGAAAAATCCAAGCAAAGAAAGATAAAAAGTTGGAGAGAAAACGCAAGGAAATGGAACAGATAAAGAAAGATAATCCTGGGTTGGAAATGGACGAAGAAACGTTCCTAGGTAAATATAACAAATATAAATATATTTTATTCTATGAACAAGTCAAAGAAGAGTAGTATTTATTGTGTTTTGGGTGTTTAACCTTTCACAATCACCTTTCTGCACTTCTACCGAAGTGCAGAAAAGGACAAACTGAAAAGTCCATCCCGAAAATAGTCAATGTGGGATATAATTCACCGAAGAGTCTAATTAGTCAGTAAGTTTCCGTATATATATATCGGTCCTCGATTGAAGACAAAATGAGTACTTTCTTGGTTTTTCTCATTTTGTCTTCAATCAAGGACCGCCTGCCCGGTGCCCGGATTTCAGTGAATACAAATATTTATTATGTCAATGAACGACATTATCGACAGGAGAACTCTGGATTTCAGTAACATTCGGAATTCGAACTCTTAATAAAAAGTAATAGTGATGATGTGGTTTCGGACAGAAACTTCGGGAAATATAGATGTTGTGATATATCAACGAATTTGTAATTATAATACTAAGAAAATGTAAAAAACAATATACAGGTCCGTATTTAAAAAACTTATATTAATGATGGAATTCAATGAACGAAACGTTGCATTGAAAAATGAGTTCACCCAGCACATGAAATGAAGCAAAAAGTTTTTCTGTCATTTTTTGATATTGTTGAAAATTGAGGCGGTAGAGCAAAAAAATAAAATCTGTCATTTTCAGTTTTTGCAAATATCTCAGAAACCGTTGATGATTTAATGGATCTGAAAATACCATTGTGTTGCATCCCTGAAAAGCTAACTTTTGTTCTATCTAGCCGTCTTTGTACAACCTACCGTTTCCGAGATAGCAATAGTGGTATCAGCTAAAAAAAACGGCCTATATATATGTCATCCCCAAAGTATCCACCTTATGGGAAACTGATTTATTAAGGGTTTTTTGACAAAAAGTTATTCGTGATAAAAGTTTTTCCATTCCCAAAAACTAAACATGAACATGCAACTAAACAAACAAAATACAGTAAAACACACGAGGAGCCTCCAAATATTTGATTTTGATACAAGAGTAAAGTAATCTTATTTTGGAAAATTTTGGAAAATGTTGTTTGAAAAAGGTGTTCAGCATTAAAAAATACATCTAGCTTTGAAGTCATAGCCATCTGAGTGGAGTTTTATTTTTTACCTTTTTTTTTTAATGGGGACTACGAAAAAAAATTGCTAAAACGATAAATAGACAGCATTCTGTATACGACGGTTTATTTTGAAAGCCTGTAATATAACGAATTACACAACTATGGTGTTAACCACGGTCAATTTTTTTGAAGCGTAAAGTCATTTTCAAAGTTTTTGTTGCAGTTATTTTTATTTTTTGTTAACACCGAAAATTACTCAAAATCATACAGTATTGTAACAATAACTTAATATTCAATAATATATCACAAAACATCAAAATAAACTAGGTATTTTGGAACAAACTCATTGATTCTATAGAGATTATTTTGGAGAATTATTCTGGACAAGAAAATCTCCAGAAAATCAATGAGTTTGTTCCAAAATACCTATTTTATTTTGATGTTTTGTGATTTAATATTATTGAATATCAAGTACTCGTTACAATACTGTACTTGTTGAGTAATTTTCGGTGTTAACAAAAAATAAAAATAACTGCAACAAAAACTTTGAAAATGACTTTACGCTTCAAAAAAATTGACCGTGGTTAACACCATAGTTGTATAATTCGTTATATTACAGACTTTTGAAATGAACCGTTGTATACAGAATGCTGTCTATTTATTGTTCTAGCCATTTTTTTTCGTAGTCCCCATTAAAAAAATGGGTAAAAAAATAAAACTCCACTCAGATGTCCATGACTTCAACTCTAGATGTATTTATTAATGCTGAACAACTTTTCTATATAACATTTCCCGAAATTTTCCAAAATGAGGGTACTTTACTCTTGTCTCAAAATCAAGTATTTGAAGGCTCCTCATATATTACATGTGTTTACTGTATTCTGTTGGTGCATGTTTAGTTTTAGGGAACGCACAAACTTTTATATCTTTTGAACATCTTGAATATCTTTTTGTCGAAAAACCCTAAGTTTCCCATATGGTGCATACTTTGGGGGTGACACTGTATATACTGGAGCACCTTACCCCTTGCCTCTCATGTAGACCTACAAAATTGTATGTGGCAGATACTCGACGGAAAAATAACAACTAACACAGCTAATGCTGCGCAGAGAGCTGAAGTAAAACCAATAGACACCTGTGCAACTGTTTCGATTTGGAAGATTCGTCGCAAGTTATTTCCCACTATGAAAAGCAGAAATTAATTCCATTTGGTCGATACGACCAACCGATGGACCGGTTTCGGGGTACCTGCCCCATCATCAGTACCATGTATGGTCTCTTCAGAACGAAGTGAACGGTCTGAGTATCACGACCAAACCGACAGCCATCCTCAGTTCAATTAGGTTGGAGCCTAGCTCCCTTACCCTTGTAGCTGGTTTCACGACCAAACAAATATAATTCCACCTAGTCATGAACTATCTCTGCAGTTGATTCAGTGGGATTTCCACTACGCCACCTGTAGACAAAGCCAGGAAACAACACCACAAACATATACTCCGGGGTGTGAGTCGGAATAATGATTAATATTCCGGAAAGGAACATATGACATGCTCCAGGTTCAGGTGAAAACACCTAAACCCTTGCCTCTCATGTAGACCTACGACTTTATGGGTACGTGTGGCAGATACCCGACGAAAAAACAACAACTAACCCAGCTAATGCTAGGCAGAGAGCTGAAGTAAAACCATCAGGCACCTGTGCAACGTCTTGGATTTGTAAAATTCGTCGCAAGTTATTTCCCACTATGAAAAGCAGAAATTAATTTCATTTGGTCGATACGACCAACCGATAGACCAGTTTGGGGGTACCGGTTTTTCGGTTGTAGATCACCTGCAAATTTCACATAAACTAATTTCGCTACGGACTCTTATTTTGCTGAAAATCATGAGAATTCCTCCACCATAGGTTCAAGAATGATTTTACTCGTGACAATATTTTTATTTCTGTTTTCAGAAAACTCATGTACCAATATGGTTACAAATTCTAAGTCTTAATTTTAATTTTTTATTTTCAAGAGTAATCTCATTTAATAGCGTTGATGTTTTTCCGTAGCTGATTCTGAATCTGAGGAAGAGTTGGAGCCACTGTATTTTCCAGAAACACCAAATAAAATATTATGGATGAAGTACACTGAGAACAATACAATTTGGCTATCGATGGCGGGGTGAGAAACATGAATCTTTCAAGGCACACATTAACTTTTGTATTTTCTCAGATACGATGCGGGTTACATCTATGAATACATGATTGACCAAAAGGAAGATGTTCCTTACAGATTCAAAATGGTCTACGATGGTGATGATATTGAAATCAGCAGTTACATTTACGAGTAATGACCACTTTCTTTCCATTGGAGTGCCAAATATTTGTTTCCAGAAAATAATTTATTCAGAGTTATACATTTTGACTAACATATACTTTTATGCTCAGCCTTGCTATATTATTATGAATCAAAAATCAATATAGGGGACTGAGTGTGAAACTGTTGAATATACCATAATACTAGTCTACGCCCATCTTCACATCAACGGTATGAGTTCATCATATTCATCGTTGTATTACTGAATTATATTCCAAACGTGGAAAAATACTTCAACATCCTAGGGTATAATATCGTTACAAAAAAAATTAAAATGGTTTGATAGGCTCAATGTTATATAGCCTTCTTTTGTGAATATTATCACTATTTACTCAACCCAATTCTAATTAGAGATACTAAATGTATGAATAATTGAATTTTATATTTCGCAGTCTTCAGATTTGAAAATCTTACTGATATGTCCAGTACTTCTGAGTTTTCTTCAGGCAGATATTTCATCACTTAGTGTTTTTCATATAATATGCCTGCTCTGGTGAATATCTCGTTTTTCGCGATGTCACTCTGTACTTTGTCTCTTCCAAATCCAAGATAAGTGATCAAATTCTTCATGACTGCTCCGGTCTCGTCTTAACTTTTGTGCTTCTTATGCTGAAGCAGAAACCTTCCAGATGTCAGCTATTCTGTATCAAAATGATGAAGTGATGTGGATGTATGTACTTCGGATGGTTCAGGAACTTTTTACTCAGACCGTAACGCAATGCATGATTCTATCATGCAGGTGACTGTCGCAGTTGCAGTTGAAATGTTTGGAGATTGTAACCAAAAAAGACCACGTCAAAACCCGGGAACCAACCAAAACAACTATCTGGATAGAGTCCGCGGAGTTAGAAGTAAACATTCCGGTATTTATTTTTTCTTTTTTTCTTCGTACGAATATCGTCTTGCTAAAGTGTTTGAAAAGAACTACATCAGGATTATCAGCTTTCATTAGCGTGAGACTGGGAAATCAATAGTTTCAATAAATTCGGTACTTTCAATTCCTCACACAGACCCTTCGCACCTAATGTCAGGAAACTATGTACCTCTGTACCCATCACGCGACCACAGTATACTAAGGTGTTCAAGACATCAAATTACAGACCACGATGAACACCTCAGTTTCTGACTCCAGCACATTCGACCTGAGGAATGTTGTTCAAGAAGACCCCGTACACCGCATTATCCTTGTGTTGCCGCAGGAGAGAAATGATCTATGCGGCTCCTATATGGGCCTTTTACTAAATGTTTTTCAGCACGGTGACAGTTTTCGAAAACTGAACCAAGCTCAGACAGCTGCCTCCAGGAGAAATGCTCCAATTTCTACCCTCTCATAATCGCTGATCATGCAGAGAAGAGGTTCCGACTTTACAGGCTCCATGCAGTTCCATTCTGTTATGTACACACTACAAACTGCACTATTATTATTATTATCATCAATATCATTGAGCAATAGTTAAAAATTATTATTTTTCATTCGAAAAATTCGAGAATTATTCCTCAATTGATTATTTTAACAATTTTGAATCAATACTCCTGACTGCTCTGGATTGAATGATTCCGTACAATCTATCTCGTCTTGTGTTTGTAAATCTTTCGCTGAAGAAATCCTCATCAGTTTACTTTGTAGTACGTGTTCAAGGGGTAGCAAAAACGTATGTGACTTTCTAGAACTTCAACCAGCGTTTCCTAAAATGACTGATAACTAATCCGTGCAGAGCATATTGCTGAATCTTCTGAAGATAGAACTTTTAACGGCTGATGATCAATTACATTGCCAAATATGCCAAATATACAGGCTGATTCACGGTGGATGGCACATTAGACGTTTCTGTGAACCAGACAACGGATCCTTTGAAAATTTAATGGAGGGCATATTCGGACATTCTCTAGCCAACTAAAATATTTTCGACAATGCGGTGTTGCCGCTTCTATTAGAAAGCAGTAGCAACTTTGATTTTTCAAATAGAACACTCTGTATATAATATTATTTTTGGATATACGCAACTCAAGGCCAAGTCATAGGCGGAGAGTAGAAAAGGGGTTGAAGATCGTAGTCAGTGTGGTGACACTGGGGGGACATACAGTCCGGGGGAGGTTCGGAACCGTCATTAGCATCCTACTTGAATTACTGTCAAAAATTAGGATACAAAAAATTTTTGGATTTATGCCTCGGTGCAAAAAGCTGGCATGATCTGGAGATTCGAGAAAACTATAATAATCGAAACAATTATTTCAACAGAGTGATCTGGATAGAGTCCGCGGAGTTAGAAGATAACATTCCGGTATTTATCAATACTCCTGACCGCTCTGGATTGAATGATTCCGTACAATCTATCTCGTCTTGTGTTTGTAAATCTTTTGCTGAAAAAATCCTCACTAGTTTACTTTGTAGTACGTGTTCAAGGGGTAGCAAAAACGTATGTGACTTTCTAGAACTTCAACCAGCGTTTCCTAAAATGACTGAAAACTAATCCGTGCAAAGCTTATTGGTGAATCATCTGAAGATAGAATTTTTAACGGCTGTAAGTATAGCCGAGGCACCAGTCAATCTAATAATAACACTAATAATCTCCAAACATGACTCAACCTCTGACGGAAGCACCAAACTCTTACGAAGATTTGAAATAGTTGAACCATTCAATCTAGCATATCACTATTATAATTTTCATGCAGTCATTGTTCACTGTGGTTGTGGCGTTGTATCTGGCCATTATTACGCATTGGTCAAAAACGAAACAGACTGTCTTGAATTTATTGAAGGCTCTGGACACACTACATTTTATTCTATGAAATAGAGGACATTGGCAGATTAAGATCTTCAGATTATGTTCACGACCCCAATTTTTCTATGGGTCATTTTACATTTATTGTAGTGGTGCACTTGTTGCTTTTTTGAGAAAGAAAGTTTTAGCTTACTATTTCTCCATCTTCATACAAAAATTGTGATTCAAAAATCAAAATTGTAAGTAGTTCAAAGGAAATTTAAAAATAGTTATTCAGAAGGTGATTTCGTCATCATCTGTATTAGTATATCCATTTCCAATGGGAACGAATACATGGATGTGATGATGGATAATGACTAGTCCATGCTATAATTCATACTTATATCACTGATTCAACTGTCTTGCTACATTTCAGTCTCCAATTGCATAATACAATAATATACATATTTTCAGTTACAACAAGGAATATATTATATTTGGAATGCAAGATGGATCCATTCGTGTAAACAAAGTAAACAAAACAGACTACACTGATTTATCAGACTACTGGACGCTCGCTATGCACGACAATCAGCACGGATTTGTGCCCAAGATGTGCTTTAGTTACGACAGCAAATATTTTTTCAGTTGTGGCCACGACGGCAACATTTTTTCGTATAGGTTTCAGCCTCCTCCAAGATATCGATATCCTGAAGTCTTGGAACCAGAGAGTCGTTACATATTCCACATGACTGTGAGCGATTTGGATAATTATGCAAAATATAGTCTTGAGGAAACAATGACCAAAGAAGAACGTGACCGAATCCAGAAAGTTGCTAACGAACATAAGGTGAATATTAGGGAAGGATACCTGAATCCTGAACTTTCAATTGAAACAGTTGTCATGTTAGTCATCAATGAACTGATCCTGGCCTAAAACAAAATAAGTACCGCACGTTCTGTCTTCACCATATGCATTTGTAATTCAGAAGGTATTTTAACTGCTGGAGTCACGAATAGAAAGTTCAATATCATAGCTAGTTAGTCCGGATGTAGCGTTGCATTTTAGGTAGTGTTTTCACACCGATTGCTTGCCATCTTCTTCAGTAGATCTCAAATGAGTTATAAGTGAATCAAGCGTCTGCTGATGCACCCGCGGTGGGTGTGATATAGGGAGGTTACGGAAGTGGTAAAAAATAAATGAAAATTAAGTAACAGTACGCCCGCTGGAACTTTTTTCATAAATAGTTGACATCATACTGAGTGAACTTATAAAAAACACATTAAATAAATTTATAGTACGCCGAATGACATTTAATCAGATGATTGTTAGAATAATCAATAGCACGAAAATAATAATGAGCTGCTTATGTAGAGGTGGAAAGACCATCAGCTGACGCAGTAGAAGTACATATCATTCGAGTAATACACATAGTCTTTCTTGTTTCATTCTGAACAAAATGCGGGTGAGTGGCGGAGGAGTCACTGTCACTCTCTTAAGGGTGATTGACAGGTCCCCGGTGCAGAACACAAAGCACTCGCCCAATAAAGTTATCAGTCAGCTACCCAATCCCGCATCCGCGGGCGACAGGCGTTGGCCGGTTTCAAGCTAGATGTGTGAGAGAGGTGCCTCGCAAGAGCCTTCGACGATTACTCATCCAACGTTGGAGAGGTAGCTATCCTAACACGAGTGCCCCTCGGGGTAACGTAAGGGTATACGGTGTAGACTACAGGACATGCACCCAAAATCTGTTGGCGAACCACCCTATCCCGCACCTACACGGGCAATGGGCGCGACGTCTTCGACATAAAATGTGTAGTAGAGGTACTCGAAAGAGTCCTCGGCGGTTACTCATCAAACGTTGGAAAGGGAACTTTCCTAATATGAGTTCTAGGAGGGAGGTGAAGTGTCCGCTCGCAGCTGGAGGCTAGTGAGTTTTCACCTATATTGGCGTTGACCTCTTTTGGGCAGTGCTCCTCTAGAGGATAAAGGGACGAGTTGCGTAAATCCATACATGGGTGCATACCGTCCCTTATTGGGACACTGGGCAGTTGCGCTGGCCCGTAATTCCTGCCTGCTTCTGTAAAGATCCAAGCGTTCGAGGTGTCGGGGATTGCGGTCCATCCGATGGAAACTAGTATCCGAGTCTAGCCTTGGAGGGCACCAAAGCAGATGCTTGAGGTGTCGGGCCCAGATGGACGGAGCTACTAGTATCCGAGTTCAAGATATCGACTTGCCACTTCCAGGAAAATTTCCCACTTGATTTGATAGGTTAGCGGGGGCAGGTGTGCGACGTGAGTGCCAATTAATTTTTGTTGTTTCATAATTTCATGATTTGTATTACTTTCTTTTTTAGTGGAAAAAACTGAAAATATTTCCAAAAAATATATAAAAATAATATATGAAATGAAAATAACAATTTCTGAAACGAAGGTTTTAAAAAAGTAGAAATATTGAAATTGAGAACTCTGCAGAACTCTTTCGTTATCGATGGTATCGCTATCATAATCATTCTCTAACGAATCGTCATCCGAACTGTCCTGTTGGAAATCGCTCTCTTCATCTTGATCGAATTTTTGAGCTCGATTCTCTTCAGCATCATCTGTAAATGAACATGTTAGTAGAGTGTATTGGGGTGAAAATAACCAGGTTCAATTCAATGCCACAAGAACATATGCATTGATTCCCAAACCGGATATAATAATGTCAGGTCAGACAATTCAGCTTTCTGCTTCTATAAGTTTGTTAGGGGTTAAAATGGACCCAAATATGTCTTGGCACAATCATGTCGCTGGAATTGCAAAGGCTACTTCTCAAAAGCTTGGAACATTGTTCCGAATAAGTAAGAATGTACGTACCTCAGCCACTTTTGATACTTCATAAAGCTCAGATCAGACCTTCTATAGAATATTGTTCTCATGTATGGAGCTCCGCCCACTAAACATACCCTGAAGATGCTGGTTTCCATCCAGATTTGAGACGCAAACATCACTTCCAACCTTGATACTCATAGTCTGGAACATCGAAGAAAGGTTGGAGATTCGTCTCTCTTCTATAGATAATTCCACGGAAAGTGTTCAAGTGACTTGGCACATTCAATTCCACCAAGAGCGGTGCATATCAGAAATACGCGACGTCCTGTGAATGCTCATCGTTTTGAGGTTCAACTCAATACACTTCGAACTTCACTGTTTAAGAATTATTCCATTTGGAGAACGGCATTTTTGTGGAGTAAACTTTCCGAGAAAGTTTTTTCAAATGGATTTGATATCCAGCGATTCGATCCACTCTGAGAGCGTTTTTAAGGATTTTTCTGGAGTTCTTGTGTTTTGTCCTTGAAAAAACACCAATATGTTCGCTGCAACCCGTCATACTGGTTACTGATGGGGGTACTTGATCTCCTTCTAACCATTTCAAGACATATTCCTCCTTTTTTTTCTTTCCATTCTTTCAGTGGGAGATAATTGAGAAGGGTCGTGAAGATGAGCATGGCCCCAAATGCGCGACAAACAAATTCTTCAATCGTTATGAATACCTCGTCTTATCAACAACTCGGAATATTTGTAATATTACCCAATGCTTTTATATGTGTCTAAGATTTTCGCAACAAATGTAAAGGCTTATTATTTTCTTTCCTCTAAAATCGCAGCCTGAGAGGGCATGGAACCCTGTCAATGCAGAGCACAAATCGGTTCTCAATTTTTCATATAATTTCGTGATATTAACGAATCTTTGGGTATTTCTGGAACCAATTTGCATTGTAATCTTCTAATCGTTTTTAATAGCATTATACCCGAGCATTATGATGAAAATATCAGTNGAATGAGACAGGATTGCCTCCATCAAATTTTCAAAGTGATCCGTTGTCTGGTTCACCAGAAACGTCTAATGTGCCATCCACCGTGAATCAGCCTGTATATTAGGTATACATTAGATATATTAGTATACATTAGGTATTCCCGTAAATTCATTTGCAGCATCTGCATTTATGGTTTGTTCCAGCGGTAGATCAATAGGCTGTCTCGAAAATAATTTGTCCTTTCATTTAACTCCAAACGATCCCCTTTCGAATTGCAACTGTATCCCTGGGTGAAATTCATGTACTTTCATAAATTTATGGTGATATATCACGGTATAACGTGATTAATTTTGTTGATTGAAAGTGAAAAATAGATTTGCTATTTTAAGTTAAACAAATCGAAGATCAAAGTTGGCTGTTCGAATACTTCTGCAGACCATCAATGTAAAATTATGGAGTTTTGCCATACTCACTGTTAAGTGTTTGTTGTTTATACTTTTCATACTTTTCAAAAATAATCAATTTTTTTAGCGTAACCGTTGGATTGACTGATTTTTCTTACATGAAATCTGTTTTGAAATATATGTTCGAACGGAAACAGCATAGTAGCAATGCTCCAATATTTTTAATTTTCACTGCGTCAGCAGACGGTCTGTCCACCGCTACACAAGCAACTAATTATCATTTTCGTTCTATTAATTATTTAAACAATCACCTAGTCAAATCTCATCCGGCGTACTATGACTTAATTTTGCATGTTTTTTTACAAGTTCATGCGAGCAGCTGAAGCATAGCCCCCCCCTTCTCGATGCAGTTGTATATTTTTTTCTGCTCAGTATGGCATCAACTATTTATGAAAGGAGTTTCAGCCGTCGTACTCTCACTTGATTTTTTGTACCTCTTTCATAGCCTCTTACACCCGCACCCACCACAACTTGATCAGCTGATGGTCGGGTCACTTATCAGTCATATAAGATCAACTATCGATGTTAACATCAGCCGGCTTACTATGACTTTTGTAATTGCAACGCTACCTCCCGGACTAAGTAGGTCGTAGTCGAATGGACCTTGTAGTGCCGAGAGTTTCGTCAGCTACTGCGACAGATATCATCAGTGGTATGACTATTAGTCGTTACAGTAGCAGAAGAAACGGTTGGTAATACAAGTTCCATAGTGCACGTCCAACCAGTCTGGATTTTGATTTATCCAATCAGAAAGTATTATTTGTCGAATATTGGATGAAATATGATAATCAAATCGAAAGAAAATCCTTTTCAATGTTTGACTCTCCTGTCTCCTGAGAGGTTTCAGTATTGATATATTAGCTCTCGCCCAATTGAAATTACCTAAATATTTGAGTATATACATTTGAGATATTTCAAAAGAATGAAATTTCCAACCCTAGATAATATTCCTAAAAATTTTGTAGTTCGACAATAATCAATAATTTTCTTAATAAAAGCAAAATTCTCCTTGTTT